AACTTGAAATAACAAATATTTTATACAAATATTTTTTTTTACAATAGATTATGCAATAGGTACTCAAATATATATTTTTTGTTTATTTAGCTATAATATACTGCTTAAAACCTCTTTCAAAAGTTGTTAATTAATTATTGATTAAACTTATTTGTATTCTCAAAATGACCATTGATATTTTTTACAATTTTTTGATATGAAGGCATATTTGATATTAATATGATATATATTTGCATTGATTAATTATGTGTTGCCATAACTAATACAACAAATATTTGTTCACTAAATATTTTAGTTTTGAACCAAATAAAAAAGTACCTAGCGATGAACAATGTAACATTCACGGCAACTCATCTGTCATCTCAATACATAAACTTACTATACATCACAATCGTAAAGAGCCAACAGTGTGTGATATAGAAACGTATACTTAATTACAATAGGATATTGTAGTGTAAATCGTAAAGTATAAATAACGTGCATCGACTCACACCAATTAGAGACGGTACTCCAACCAAAAATTCCAACGAGAGTCTACGCACTTTTATTCACGGCAATACAAGGTAAGTGAAAACACATATACTATATAATTAAGAACAAATTATTATTTCGATATTCAAATAAAAATATTCTGTAGTGAGATAAAATTTACGATGAGCGCAACACTCCAATCATTCACACCCTTTATAGTTTGCCGCCACTGCATATTTCCCCGACTTACCTCCACTTCGTTTATTTCATTCTACTACAAATAGCGCAAAACGCGGCACTTGCCTTTTAGTCTATTTTTCTCTACTACAAATGACGCCCTACTTCCTTCTTGCTTCTTCGTTAATTTTATTTTTACTACATAATATATAATTATTTATATTATTATATGTGAATATCTCTATATAAGATGGTTACAAAAAACCATTAATCAGTAGGGATAGTTTACGAAGATTCAATTTCAAACCATGAGTATTATAATTAGGGTTATGATTTATATGCAATAAGAAATTATGAAATATGTATTTGTTTTATTATAAATATGCAAAAATATGCAATAAAAGTAAAATATACCACATAAATATAATTAAAGAAATACATTTTCTATACATTTTTGAAAAAGAAATTGAAATTTTCAAATATCCCTCAATAGCCTTTAAAGTTAGATACTTGGAAAATTAAATAAAGGTTATTAATTTATATAGGTACATGAAGTATTAAGTAAAGAATTTATATAACATATATTACTTCAATTATTCAAATAGAAAGTAATTTTTATGGTACCTAATTTGTATTAACTTTATTTTTGGGTATGCCACTGCGTGCGCATAATACATTTTATTTAAAATATTAAAATATTTAATGGTAGTAATATAGTAATTTCACTTACAATTTATTAAATAAATGAAAACCAGAAGTAGCGAATTTACTGTAAAATATTATCAAATTATAAAATCACTTTTTTAAGATAGATGAAAGAGCTATGTTGAAGTTTATTTTTTCTTAATATCAGTCCGGACTCCGCTATCGTCAAAATGAAGATGTAAAAATGTAAAATAAATATGCTAGGTATATGTTATATGCAACAAACATTATACGTTGGCTGTCACTCGGACACTCGGAATCCGATAGGAAACTTAGTATCACAGTTAATCGAATAAACTGTGTGACCGGACTACCTATGATTTAACCTTATTAAAATTTAATTTTATAATTCAATATTACAGGTATTCAAAATGATCACGATTATGTTAAAGTCGATGAAATGGCTCTTAAAGTGAATAATGTTAATACAAACGGAGACGATAGAGCAGTAACTTCGGTTATAAAAACTAATAATATACAAAAAAATAATCAAGAACAATTACATGCAGATTGTGAAGATACATATAGTAAAAAAGGTTAGTGTGTTTAAATTTCCAATAAAGACAAATGATATTTTATGTTCTATTTTATATTACACATGTAGGTAAATTTTCATGGAAAATAATCGAAGGACACCATATACCATACATCGAGCGTGTAATAAATGGTGTAAAGTTACAGTTTGCATCCGTACGGATGGTGGAAACTCGGCTACTCAACGAATATTTACATTATTTACATGAAAATATGTATACTTGTTTATCAGTTAGAAGTTATTTTATCACTGATATAGAAGCAGCTTTATTAAATGAAATCAACAATTTTCATACTGATTTTGCTGTTGGGAATGCAATTTTCTTTGCAAGAAAAGATTACATAGTCCTTTTAGAAGATGTTCAAGAATTTTATACATTCACAGACGTGTGTTATAAAGCATTACTGTCCAATGATAATACAGGTCGCAAAAAAAAATTTGGTTATATACTTGTTAACTTCGAATCTGTTTTACCATATAGTGTTAAGAATGACAAAAGATATATTCCTTTATTCTGCTTTGAAGCCGAAAGAGAAAACCTACAACATTTAAGTGTTAAGTTAGAAAATTGGAACTTAGCCTATCTGAAGTTCTGTTTTAAACTTCAGGGTGCAAATAATGATGAGTTTTTCGCCAGTGATTCTTGCATGGTGATCAGTCTTGATGATATCAAGAATTTATATTCAAACGACACAATTTTTGAGGAATATTGGCCCCCTCATATCATTGATATACAGCTCCTGACGAATGAGAATTCTACCAATGTCAATCCCCCAGGGGTCTGGATCAGAGCACCCCTTGAAGAAGTAATTGCTGAGAATAGTACTATTCCTCACACCTTAACAGAATCAGTGCCAGTGTTACCAATGAGTATGCCAGTAATGAACTCCCATCAAAACGGAAGGCCAGAAAACCAAATGGTATGTGTTATGTACTTTGGATATTAAATTACTTCCATATTTTTGTTTATTAAAAAAGAAATATTAATTTGTGTTTTTACAATGCATCAAAATAATCATATTTTATTTTGTGCCTAATATTATTTTTAATATTAACTATTAGGTAACTATAAAATATTAATAAATAATGGATCTATAAAGTATAAATGAATAGGTTATATCAATATTACTATTTTGTACTTGACAAAATAATATATAAATTGGAATAAAGCATTAACGGCACTTCAGTTTTTACATAGGTACAATTTTGCTTTTATTTGTTTATTTTAATTATACTCCACATTGGTGGATCCAGGGATGGCAAGGGAGAATCCCCCCCCCCCACCAATCACCGTAGTTGACCTGTGTTGTACACTATGTTTTTTCCACTGTAACGAAATAGTGGATTAAATAGGGAATTAAATGTAAATAAATAAAAATTTGTGTCGTTTAGAATTTGTTGTGAAAAATTATAAAATTTAAACATTGCGAGATATTGTGTAGATAATATGCCTCCCCCCCCCCCATAAAATGGGTCAGTGGTGGTGTCGATATGTTTTTCAATAAACCAATTTTTTATCTCTATAATAATATGTCATCCTATGATCTCAATAAACAAATAATTTTTTAGATTCTGAGTGAAACGATGAATGTATTGATTTTACAATGATGTGTGTTTTTTTTTTATTTTTTATTTTTATTTTTGTGTTTGTCATCACGTTTTAGGACATTAAAAGTGCTTGGATTTTCTTCAACAGTATCTTTTCTGATAGGAAAGTGAATCTAGTTGGTACTTTGGGGGGCCAAAAGTAAAAATTTCCCAGTATTTCTAACAAGCACCGGAAAAAACAACATAATATGATATAATAATACGCAAAATTGGTTTTCCAAAAAATCGATTTTGATTTTTGGTGTAACTCTAAAAGAAATGAACGTATATACATGAAATTTTCACTAGTTGTTTATATTTGCATTCTGTATACACGATAACATTTTCAAAATATTTTGATTTATTTTGATCTGTTTAGGGACATTTTCATTTTCCATCTTTGTTTAGTTTTTTTTCTAAAAATATCAATAAAATGTTATTTGTTGGTTGCGAAAAGTTGAAAATTTAATAGAAGGCTCCTAGTATATTGTTTCAAAGGCAGATGAAAAATATTAAAAATCCTTAGTCACAATTTTTTTTTGTAAGCATTTAAAGTTCAAAAATTGACAAACTATGGAAAATTAGCAAATTATTTTGAGTTAAGAATTTTTCTTTTTAAATCTAAGATTTGAAAATGTAATACAAGATTCCTTATAAGATTATCTACCTTTATCAAAAAAAAAAAAAAATGTTTATAAGAAAGTCAAATTAAATTTTTATGAGCGTTTGAAAATCAAATTTTTACAACATTGGATATTCACTCGATTTCTCATGTAGCGATTTCCTTATTTTGTTGTAATTCAAAAACGAATAACTGTAGATACATGAAAATTTCACTGAATGTTTAAATTAGCATTTCCTATACACCATACAATTTTGAAAATATTTTGACTTTTTTTGAGCTGTTTACGGACATTTTCAATTTTCAATTTTTTTAGTTTTTTTTTTCTATAAATATCAATTAAGTTTTATCTGTAGGGCCAAAAAGTGTAAAAATTTAATAGAAGGCTCCTGATATATTGTTACAATAGCAATTGAAAAATATTAAAAATACATTGGCTCAATTTTTTTTTTATAAGCATTTAAAGATCGAATTTTGACAAAATTTATCAAAATCTCGAAAATTATCAATCATTGTAATTAATAAATTATAAAACGTTCAGTTTTTATAGCTAAGGATTGCAAATTTAAAACAAAGGTTCTCATAAATAGTTCATCCTGTAAATAAAAAATCTAAAAAATATATGAACACAGTTTTTTTTTACAGACATTTTAAATTCAAATTTGGACGAAATTACATATTAAAAAACCTAGAATAATATTATTTTCATTTTTATAAGTTTATAACTGTATAAAAATATTTATTTTCATTTTCAAAACTGTATAATAATAATTTATTTATTATACTTGAAAAATAAATATACAATTTTAAATTTAGTATACATAAACAAATCTAATGAATAATACAAAAAATTTACAAATAATATACATACTACAACTAACTGATACCGCTATAAAATGGTTTTTATGTAAATACCAGGTCAATTAACTGTCCTCTGACTAAATTGCCTGTTTGCCTTACAGGGTTCATATCAATTTCCAGAAGTAAGTCATTATCTACGGCATATTCGTCGGCTGGCATTTCATCACCTTGTTCTTTTAAAATGTTGTATAAAACAGCTGTGGCAACAATGGTCGTCATAGTCGTGTTAAGCTGTGTGCGTATTCCTACAGCTATCACCGGAAATCTCCTTTTCCACACACCAAATAGTCTTTCTACAACGTTTCTTGTACCAATATGAGCTTTCTATGAAAAAAATGATATTTTTAAATGCATAATTGTTAAACTAAATTAAATTTATCTGGAAGTTATTTTAATGAAGGTGGTCGGAGATATTTTAATGAAGCACAAATCATAAAAAAAATAAATGTATTAGATTAATTTAATTTTAATTCCTTATAACTTAAAATTATATTTGAACCAGATTGTGGAAAATTAAGAGTGAAAAGAGAGAAATTTAATTTCTATGAATGGTAGTATTAAATGTTTCCTAACAATAAATAATATACTAATACCTGATATCTCTTCTCAGCTTCAGTAACGGGACGAAGAAGAGGAGTCATCATGTAATCACGACATGGATAGCCTCCGTCTCCGAGTAAAAAACTATTTCCATATTCTCCATTTTCAAACTGAGCCCTACACATACTATTATCAAAAATTGTACTGTCATGAACAGAACCTGGCCACCTACAACAACATTTTAGATGAACAATACCTTTGTGTATTAGTTTGTTCTATTATACTATCATAGTATCATAATACAAGAACTTACATACATACAGTAAAAATTATACCAATTAATTTCACTATAAATACTACTATTTATAATTAATGGTAATAAGGTTGTTTTTAAGGAACATTTTAAATTTATGAAGTAGGTAGGCACAAAAAGTTTCAGGGGATGTTTTTAAAAATCACTTTTATGCTCCACCAATAGGTTCATTTAAGTACGTATGTAAATTGTAATTATTAAAATGTATTTTTTAAATAGTTATGTTTACCGTGCAACAATATTCATGATTTTTAAGTTGCTATCACATATAGCCTGTACGTTGAAGGAGAAATACCCTTTCCGATTTCGAAATCTTTCTCCAATATTGCTGTTTGGTGACTGTATACGTATGTGGGTACAGTCTACTGCCCCAACCACTCTTGGAAATCCTTTCAATCTGAAAAAAACCTGTTTGAACTTTCTGAATTTCTTCAGCATCCCTAGGCATGTTGATAAAATGCGGACGAAGACGACCAATCGCGAGTGACACACGTTTTATGGTTCGGCATATTGTTGACTTATGGACGTGTACGTGATCTCCAATAACGGCCTTTATTAAGGAATATAGGGAAAGAAAGGATTATAGTAGACAGTTACCTAGGTATGTGACTATGTACAATAGAAAAGTACTTGTTCAATTTTTAACAGTTAAAGAGGAACGGTTATAACAATCAAATCCTTTAAAGGATATTATTTTAGAAGTTAATTTTAAAAATAATAATTTTACACTCAGCAGATCACGTTCAGATCCGTTAGTTAAAAAATAAGAGTGAATTGACTTCTTATAAAATTAAAATGTAAGATTATTATCTAGGAAATCTCATAGGCTATTTATTATATTTTAATTTTAAAGCGAGTTATAAGTATTTTTAATTTTAAGATGTACCTACAAACAATTTACAATTTTAAAATACTTATAACTCGATTTAAAATTAAAATATAATAAAAAAGCCTACGTGATTATTCACTATAGATAATATCTAGATCTTACCTTTGAATTTTATAAGATTATTTTTATAATTTTATATTCACTTTTATTTTTAAAATAACGGAGCTAAACGTGATTTGCTGAGCGTAAAATGTGCAATGCGTACGTATGTAAGACCAGGGGGTGGCTAAGGGGCTATAAAAAGTGTAAATAAAAGACATATTGTATTTGTATACTTAGCCCCCTCCCCTATACAAAATTCCTGGCTACGCCACTGTGTAAGACGGAGACAACAAGACAACATAATTTGAGGGTGCGAGTGTGCGACGTCCCCCTAAGGGCTGCCCGTAACCGATTTTTTCGATCAAAAACTCGCCTAGCACGCCACTGCCACGTAGTTAACTGATTTCGGAAATTTTTTTTTAAATTGGTTTTAAAACCTGTCACAGACTTATATAATCATTTATGACTAATACATGCCTTGGATGGCAGCGAAAAATTTGCAAATTTCCACTATTATAGACCAGAGCGGAGGTCTTAAATCTTAATGCATCAACACATGTGTTCAGTTCAACAGTAACTTAACCTTAATATTTAACGTTACATTTAGAAAAACAAATAAAAATATAGGTAGGTACTATACATTTTGATGTAGGTTACACTATACATACTTGAAAAATGAAAGGTACCTGTAGCATAGTATCTTAAAGTCACCAAAATTTGTATTTCTGGAGAAATGGCGAAGCTTCTATTTGTAGAACGTCGCAAATCGTTTCCAATTAAATGTAATAAAAATACAAAAGTTTCCTTTGATAGTCTATTGTAAAAAAATGCATTTATTGTGTATCAAATTAGGTACGATTTACATTTTATTTAACTTATTGGTTATTATAGCTATTAGTTACTTACCTAAACCTACTTTTAAAATCAAAATCGTCGAAATCCTCCAATGGGTTTGACCTATCCCGAAAGAATCTTGGTCTGGGTAAATAAAATAATACATCCAACACCATTTCATCATCAGAATTAGATGAGTCGGAATCAGTCATTTTTCAAAGTGTATTTAATTACTTTGCGATGTATTAAATATTAATAATTAATTATATACGTGGTAAGCAAGAAAAATTCAAGAATGTAACATGTAAGAGTGTGTAAGTGGTGTAACGCATTGACAAGACGCATAGGTAGTAACGGACGTAGGTACTGTATACTACTATTTAATGAACGAATAAATTTTTATTCAACCGAAATCGGATCATTAGTTTAATTGACCGGTAACCAATAGTTTAATGACTCAATAACGTTATTGAACGTTTATTTAACATTTAGTGGATGAATAACTTTTTATTCATTCAATAGCGTACTATTGGTTCATTAAATATTTAATGAACGTTCATGCAACCCGGCACTAGACTGACATACGGTCTCCGCTCAGAATCGTTTTTCTTATACAATGATATTATATCGTTGAATTCAAATTTAATATCATCCATTATACAGTGACCCACTTGTAACTTACTGTACATCAGAGCACCTTTTTATATTTTCAGTTTTTTTATAGTTCTTTAAAATTCAGAATTGGACGAAATTACAAATTAAAACCAAGAATAACAATTTTAGTAATTTTGTTTTAATTTAAAATAGTATGTTTGGATATTTCAAAGTTTTAAATTATATTATTATATTTTATTCACACAGTTTTTCTTATACAATAATAGTAAATCATTGCATTCAAATTAAATACCATCCAATTTCCATTACACTGACCCATTTATAACCTACTGTATAGCAGAGTGGTACCCACTTGTTGCCCTTTTTTATTAATATAAATTAATATATTTGCGAGATGAATTTTAATACATTTTATATTATTATCGACTGGTGGCAATAACATCAGAATGATGAAATAAAAATATTTATTATAACATAATTAATGTACACATTATATAATGGTTTAACATCTTGGAAATATCATTAATTTACATCATAAATATGTATATAAAAATGAAGAAATATACAAATGTTCAACGCTTGAAATGTTTCACATTTAAATAATACACATTAAATAATGTTTTAGGAATATCATTAATGCACATCATAAATATAATATATAACAATTGACCAATAAAGAAATATACAACTGTTGAACAATGCTTGAAAATATGCAAAAAGTCGCCAAGTACACGGGTAACAGCCACCGTTGATTCTGCCTTAAGGCATTATCTAGGTCCGGGCCTGGACAAGCGGAAATCTCATATACCCTCCGGATGTGCGGAGGATGGACTTCCGTTCAATCAGGAACGTCCGATGACCACATTAACAGATTAACGACAGCGGTGGGTCCATCAAAAGAAGACGAACCTATAAATAATTTTATATTAGACACTCTGCTACTATATTAATTTATCATTAAAGTTTATAGTTTTGAGTGTTCTTTTAACACTACTGTGCAGTCTTAACGAAGTAGAAAATTTGTTACATTTTATCATTGATAATTATTATAATCAATGGTATTATGTAGCTATTATACAATAGGTAATAATCAATAGGATTCAGGACTTATGTCCACTAAAAATCCTTGAAATATAGAATCAAAATTACCAGAATACGATTTTCTTGTTTATTGACACGACAAAATCAAATGTTCGATTTGGAGTAGGTACCTGTGCTACGACAACAACGATAAACATAATCTATTAAAAATAGATTATTTATTACCACCGCCTCCTCTACCGCCATTACCCCAGCCGCTGGACGAATCTGAGCGTTTGAAGTACGCAGTAAGTACCTTCTTATTATATATCAAGCAATCTATCTGAAATAAAATATTATATATATACTTTTCAGAGGGCGTGCCTGAACTTAAATGATAAATTAATATAGTTTTATACAATGACGGAAAGTGTTTATTACTCTACTATAAAAGTACTTACAGCATCTTCTTGTGAATTGACAACCACCTCGGTTAATCTGTATACCGGATTTTTTGCAGCATAGGTCATATTCATAATATTGTATTGATACAAATATATTATTAATTATGATATTATGAAGTATTGACTATAATATTTTGTTTTTTTATATCGAAAACGACAGTTTAGATGTATCGTCGTATAGTATCCGTGGTAATCACGTAATTTGTGTACTTTTTTCGTTTTCGGCCATCGATAAAATAATCAGTTATTATTTATTATTATTTTTACTAATATATATTTTTATGCAGATTCACGCTTATAAACAAATATCGACTATCGTAATATTTAGCAGTTCATCTGTGATTTACCTACCTAATTAAATAGAATGAGTAAAACTGCGAAGTGACCAGCGCGGCGAGGGCACAGGTTGCGGTATAGCCCGATGGACATATCCGAAAATTCAAAACAAAGATTTTCACAAACAGTTCATACTGTAACCAAAAAACCTAAAAAAATATAATATGAACACAGTCAATTTACACAGACATTTTAAATTCAAATTTGTATGAAATTACATACCTACTAAAACCAATCATCTTCATCCCTGAATGCACGATTCGCAACATTATTAGATATTTCTTAGTATGTTTTTCTCTACTCTCTTAATCTTCTATTACATACGTACTCAACCATTCCGAATGATATCCAAAGATATCCACCCAATGTTTCATGTCCTTTTTAAGCATGTCATTAAAAGTACAATTATAAGTACACGTGCTCGTAAAGAAAAATGAATCGGTCTAAAATTGGTGCTTTTGGGGATCAAAAATAAGAAATCCTTCACTTTTCAGTTTTGTCTAAATAAGTGTTTTACAGTCTTTGTTAGATAGGCACGTAAACGTTTGTTTAAATTTTATATTCTAGTGTTTGAACGTGCGAATTCCAAATACAACCAGCACACAAAACCCGAAACCCGAAAAATGATTCGGGTGCGAAAGCTTGGTTAGTAAACGAAAAAACAATAGGTATTACAAATTTACATTTTTGTGATAAGACACTGGTCTGTAAAATTAGTACATATAATAATATTATAACGCTAAAGTGGGTTTTTTCCTCTTAAGATAAATATGTTAATATAAACATAATATACTATATAGACGTCTTTAGAACGTAATTTGCAAAGGTAAAAAATGTTTTATCAAAATTCAATAGCTCATTTAGGTTCATAATAAGTAATAACCCTGTGTGCATAAAGGTGATTTCGATATCTCAGGGACTGTAATTTTCAGTCTCAAATGTGACATTGCATAACTACTACTATGTAATTTTAAATAGATGTTATAAAAAAAGTGTTTATAATTATATTCTCTGAGATGTCACAAAGTGATTTCTATGCAATTTAAATTTGAAATAACAAATATTTTATACAAATATTTTTTTTACAATAGATTATGCAATAGGTACTCAAATATATATTTTTTGTATATTTAGCTATAATATACTGCTTAAAACCTCTTTCAAAAGTTGTTAATTAATTATTGATTAAACTTATTTGTATTCTCAAAATGGCCATTGATATTTTTTACAATTTTTTGATATGAAGGCATATTTGATATTAATATGATATATATTTGCATTGATTAATAATGTGTTGCCATAACTAATACAACAAATATTTGTTTACTAAATATTTTAGTTTTGAACCAAATAAAAAAGTACCTAGCGATGAACAATGTAACATTCACGGCAACTCATCTGTCATCTCAATACATAAACTTACTATCAGCCCATTATTGATGTATAGACATTTTGAAACGATTAGGTCCAAACTAAATCATGATATTAAAAATTAAAAATGTTTGCATTTATTTCTAGTGTGCACATACAAATAGAACAGCATTCGATGTTTACAGTTATTTTCAAGATTCCACACATTTTCATAGTTATTAATTAATTATTAATATACCGTGTTTCGATACATTTTTCTTATCCGCGTGATAACTGTTATACACCTCAAACAATTTATTTATTGTTCTAATTAGGTAGGTATACGGATGACAAATTCTATATTTTAATTTTGCATTCTCTCAAATAGGTTTTATTATTTAAGGTTATAGTTTAATGTTTGATATTTTCAAAGGGGCATTAATAATTAAAGGCTGTTTATCAAAACTTATATTTTATATCTCAATAAAATATTTTGTACGGCGTAATGTATATGCAACACTTGTATATTATCGTCATGAATACCAATATTTTCAATTTTTTTTATTTATTTCAGGTAAGGAACTTAATTTTATAGGTATAACATATTATTTTTTTATCAAAAATGTTCTTGGATAATAGTTAGATTATTAATCTACAGATTTTAAATGACACCAAAACAAAGAAATTAATTTGTGTCGAATTCTATAATAATTCCACTACAACCTTTCCATGAAATCTAAAATGCATTATTTAGACAATTATTGACATTACTGTCGAGTGTATAGTTATCGATAAAAGGTGTTAATTCATATTACGACAACATATATATGTATTTTTCTAATACAGTTAAAATAAAGCTATATAATATATTAAATCAATAACCTAATAATATTATCCCAGCAAATATGATATCGTCATAACAAACAAAATATATTGATACACAATTTATTGATAATAATATTTTAAAATTTTTTTTATGATTTTAGTGTTAATGGTTATATTATATTTGTAAAACTTTAATTATATTTACACATTATAATAAATTGCAGATCGATGAATAAATCATCGTTAAAATATTGTAATATAATTATAGTATACCTCTGCATTATAACGTAAGTACAGTATTGGACATTGGTATATCAATAATAATAATAATAATAATAATAATAAACTGGCCCGAAATCCAGCCGATGCTGTCGGTCGATTAATAATAATATTATGTCGTAGTAGATGGCTACTAATAAACAATGTTTGTTTTAAATTATGGGCGACGGCCTAAGACGAAATTCGGAATCGGCTCACTTTCAATATTTATTCTGACTATACCTACACGCAAACAATTTTCCTGTTAAAATGGCTGAATCGTACAATACCGAAACCCAAGAAATCGAAAAAACCGTAGGAGACGTCATCAAAAATGAGGCGAT